GTGTGTGTGTGTGTGTGTGTGTGTGTGTGTGTGTGTGTGTGTGTGTGCAACTGAGGAGAACGGCTCCTTAAGGTTGCATTAAGTCTGATTCCCTTCCATCCATTTGCACACTGGCAGATGTATACTCCAGAGCCCGCATTTTCTTGCACACTGAGCCAAAAAGAGAGAGAGACACCCTTGGTCGCTTTCTTAGGACTAATGCCAGCTTAAACCACAACTCGCCCCCCCCCCCCCCCCGTGTGCCAACAACAACCTTGCTTTGGCACAATCCTGCAGAAATCCATCCATGCACCGTCCCCCAAACCACCCCCGGCGCTAATGTGCCCGGCTTAAACGCTGAGGGAGCTACGAGCAGTCCCTTCTTTGCGATCCCTCGTCGCACTCGATTCCAGATGCAGCTCCTACCCACCCACCCACCCCCTTTCTCCCCCCAATAGGCTGCAGCCGGCCGAAATAGGCAACGGGTCCCTTCCTTCACGCCCACCGCCTCGCGCGCGCGCTCGGCCCCCCCGCTCGAGATGGCTCACTTCCTTCCACCCGCAGAGGGCAGCACAGCCAATCACATGCGGCAACAACCACACATTACACCTTCCTCCTACGCCACTGCAGTGTGCGCGCGGTAACAACCTCACACTGCAGCCCCCCCCACCCCGCCCCCACCGTCCCCAGATGAAGATGGCTTCCTCCGATGTTTTATTTTTTTGGGGGGGGGAGGAGGGGGGCACAATTTCCAGTTTCTCCAGGCTGACCCCCAATAGGTGCAATCTGACCCACACATGGAAGAGAAAAAAAAACACAAATCGACGTAAAAGCACATTTTGTTCTCTTTCTCCTTCCTCATTCCCACCCCAAGAAAGAAAGAAAGAAGGAAGGAAGGAAGGAAGGAAGGAAGGAAGGAAGGAAGGAAAGAAAGAAAGAAAGAAAGAAAGAAAGAAAGAAAGAAAGAAAGAAAGAAAGAAAGAAAGAAAGAAAGAAAGGGAAGTTGGAAGGAAGGGAAGAGAGAGCAAGGAAGGGAGTGAGACAAGGACGGAAGGAAGGAAGGAAGGAAGGAAGGAAGGAAGGAAGGAAGGAAGGAAGGAAGGAAGGAAGGAGATGGAAAATAGGGAGTAGGTGAGAGGCAGAAAGGAGGGGAGAGAGGAGAGAGGGATAGAGGGAAGAAAGGAAGGAGATGGGAAATAAGGAGGGAGGGAGGGAGATGAGAGGAAGAAAGGAGTAGAGGAGAGAGGGAGGGAGGGAGGGAGGAAGGAAAGCTCTCAAAATTACATACTGATACAAGGGCACAGGCGCGCGCACGCACACGCACACACATACACACACACAGGATTTTCAAACCTGTGCCACAAAAAAATGTGTATATGTGCGCGTGTGTATGTGTGTGCACCGAGAACACACGGAGCCTTGCCTCTACAACCCTTCAATTTCAAATCCCTGAGCTGGTCCTTGGTGATCAGTCAAAAGCCCCAACCAGCCTGCCTTAGTTCTAGAAGGTATTTTATCTCGGCGGGTGCCCCATTCCTTCTCCCTACTTCTTCCCCGCTCCCCAATCCTATCCATTTCCTCATTCTGCCCCGTCCCTTTCGCTCCAAGCGCGGGTTTCCACTCTCTCTCTTGTAAACCAAAATCCGCAGCCCGCAAAAAAAAAAAAAAAAAAAAACAACAACCCCCAAAATCCCAAAACACCCCTCCAAACGTTTCTGTTCTGTCCAGATCCGCGCGGAGAAGAAACAAAGAAACGACCCCCATCTACGCGACCTCAATTCCAAGCCTCCTGGGCTTGGAAGCAGATCTTCCCTCCTCTTCCTCGCCACCCTCCTCGGAACAAGCATCCATTTCTCTCTCTCCCCCCCCTCTCCCCCCCAGCGGACCTCCCGTTTAATCCCCGAGACTCGGAACTCAGAAGCGGGTTTTTTTGCGCAGCGCCCTAATTTTCGTCCCGAGAAAGCTCCGCCAGCAGGTTTCGTCTCTGTACCCCAGAGTCCCCTCCCCACGTCTTCTCGACCCCCCCTTCCCCGCCCCGTCTCCCCCAGCCGCGAGAGGTAGGCAGGGAAAAAAGGGGTGTCTCCCGCGCATCTGGACTTTGCGGAACCAGGG